ATAAAAATAAAAATTGATCTTATGGTCATAAGAAATTGTCCCCAATGAATGACGTAATACAAATCCAATCCAAAACAAAAATTTAAATCATCAGTACTTGCATAAGCATTATCTAATAATTTATTTAAAAACGGAACAATGGGTTCGTCATAACCATAGATAAAAAAAATGGGAGATTTGGTCATTTTGACCATATCGAGGTGGCACGTCTTCAAACGTCGCTTCAGTGATATGTCGATCGTTTTACATACAAGATCTCTCGTAAAACGTGAAAAAGCCAAGATGTAGCGATATAACTTGTAAAAATTGGAGTGAAAAAAAAAATTTAAAACCACCGGCTATTTGCATTTTTAGTTACTATTTCAATTATTATTCAATGTTTTCTTATTGTCTCCATAGAAATTTCTAGACTCAAATATGATGATGTTCATTGAGGATGATTGATGTTTATCGACAATTATTTTTTACTGAAATGTTTGAATGTCTAACTATCATTTTTGTAATTAAAGTCCCTAAACTGTCGAACCGGAAAGCATTCACGTTATATTGATTTATTTTATTTTATTATTATTATTGTTGTTGTTGTTGTTGTTGCTGCTGCTGCTGTTGTTATTGTTGTTGTTGTTGTTATTTTTATTAATATTATATTTATTTGAAACTCTCGCCTCTCCCAAGGCCTAAGCGCCTGAGCCGGCCGCCAAAGTGCGCGGGTGACGACTTATGCCACGCGCGCAGGCGATCGCGTCCTGCACGGTTCTACTAGTACCCCGGCGCGGAAGCCACAAGCAACCGTCACCCCTACAGGCGTAAAACGCGCCATGAAATGTGCTACTAATTTTACATACTTAACTATTACATTCTACGGATGCCGCGGTCCCGCTACAAAACGCTTAGTGTAACGATGAATGAGTTTCAGCGTCATCTAACGTGTAATACTTAGCATTATATACTAGTAGCATTTTTACTAAAACACTACCTGATGGTGAATGGCTTCACCAGGATGAAAATAATACAGAAATATTGCAATATAACTCTTACTCAAGTGAATGCAAGTTTACTTTTGTTAATATTGTGTTACGTCGTTTTCATGTTTTAAGCCCTAACCAATCAAAATCGTTAAGTCATGGAAGTGGCGACATTCCGTACCCGAGCTTACATAGCGTCATTTACATACCTCCCCTTTTTTCCTATATCTATGGTCATAACAGTATTTGTTACTTGTTTTTATTCTTTTGAATCTTTTAATATTATTCCAAATTGTTGAAATAGGATTACTGTCCTGTTAAAACTGCCACATAAAATTTTCTAACTTTTCTTTTTCAATTCTGCAATACTTCTTTTTTTAATTGCGTCAAGTTTTTTCTAAGCAATAAAATTTGTAATAGTAGGTAAATTTCTGTAGTACTTAAGGGCCTCTTTAGATTTAATTACACTGTCCTTGCATTTGTCGTTCCACCAAGGTGTGGGAGGTCTACTTTTATATTCTGTAGTTTTAGAAAATTTAGGAATGCACTGAGATTTCAGTGTGCAAAGAACTTCGAAAAATTTTCGACCATTTGCATAGAGGGGCTAGCGACAGAAATATCAATAGCCGACGGGTTACGTTCGGATAATTTATAGTAGTAATATCTCCTTCATTCAATATAAATAAATCTGAGTCATCTAGAATCGAATACAACTGTTCACCACGACGCACAGTGGGCTGAAAATCGGCTTTCATAGACTTAAGGACTTTTATAATAATTATAATAATTCTTTATTGCACATTGAAAATTACAAGTTAGAAAGGAGATATACAAGGGTGAACTTATCTCTAGAAGAGATCTCTCCCAGCCAACCCTAGCAGTGGGGAATAAATTAACTCTGCGGGACATTATTGTACAATACATTTGTTAAAAATAAATGTAAATATAATAATCAATGGCGACAATATAAATATGGCTGAGATAATAAACCTACATAAACTGTACATACCTACATAAAAACATACGTACACAATATATATAATTAATCAAAACAAATTATTAGTTTATATATATGTTACTGATTAACTTCCGAGTTTAACAGGAAGTGCTCTTTTAATTTGCATTTAATTGATGCAACCGATGGACTGTCACGAATGCTAGCAGGTAATTTATTCCACATACGAGCTGCACTAACTGTGAAGGAATAGTGGATAAAATTGGAATTGGATTGAGGACATAAAAGTGTTCTAGTGTCACAAGTTCGTTTTGGGCGAGAAGTGAATGATTAAAACGGGAGCGTAGATAGTGTGGAAGCTGAGGGTAGTATAGAATTTTGTATAGAACACAAAGGATATGCAAATCTCTGCGAAGCCGGATAGGGAGCTATTTTAATTTATATCGAAATTCAGAAATATGGTCATATTTACGCAGATCAAATGGGAAGTCTCACATGATGCTATTGGTGTATTCTGTGACCTTTCCAAAGCTTTTGATTGTGTGCACCATGATACACTGGTCAGGAAACTTCGCCATTATGGTATGGCGGGACGTGATCTCGACCTTCTTAAATCGTATTTGCGTGGTAGGGTACAGAGGGTCGATGTTAACGGTACGAGATCGTCAGGATCTGCAATTAGCATGGGTGTCCCTCAAGGTTCAATTCTAGGCCCATTTTTATTTTTAGTTTATATTAATGACTTACCTAGCCTTATGGAGAGTATAAAACATGAGATAGCATTGTTTGCTGATGATACTTCCTTATTATTTAAAGTTAAAAGGCACCAATCCTATGACGATGTGAACAATGCTATATCTAAAGTAGTTGATTGGTTTGCTGTTAATAACCTACTTCTTAATGAGAAAAAAACAAATTGTATGAAATTTACATTACCCAATGTTAGAGAGACGGTTACAAACATTGTAGTTAGAAACGAAAAATTGAATCTTGTGGATACAGTTGTATTTCTAGGTATAACGTTAGATGCTAAATTGCAATGGGGTCCCCATATAAGTAAGTTATCAAAACGGCTCGGCTCTGCAGTGTACGCGATTAAAAAAATAAGGAAACTTTCAGACGTCGAAACCGCTAGATTGGTTTACTTCAGTTACTTTCACAGTCTAATGACATACGGCATTTTGCTTTGGGGTAATGCCGCCGATATCAATAGAATCTTTGTCCTGCAGAAACGTGCAGTTAGGGCAATTTACAATCTGGGCCCCAAAGTATCTTTGAGAGATAAGTTTAAGGAAATTAACATTCTTACACTAGCCTCACAGTACATTTATGAAAATGTAATTTATGTTAAAAGGAATAGTAATGTATTTATGAAAAATAGTGACAGACATAACATTAATACGAGGAATAGAAATAAACTAGCTTTTCTTGATAGTCGTCTTCACAAAGTCAAAAAATCATTTAAGGGGCAATGTATACGCTTCTATAACAAGATTCCGGTTGATATACAAAATTTGCCTTTCACGAGGTTTAAAACTATAGTGAAACAAAAACTTTATAGTAAAGGTTATTATACAACTTCTTCGTACTTGGATGACAAAAATCCGTGGTAGTAACCCGTTTAGCTCATGGAGGTAGTCTCGATCTCTGATGTTTCAAATAAAAAAAAAAATATTGTAAATGCTATTTACAAACAGCAACCCCTAGAGTTTCTTGCTCATTCTTCTCAGGGGAATCTGCCTTACGAATGAGCGGTAAAGTTTAACCATTGTGACGATTTCAAGTGTAATAATGCTTACCTATGAAATAAAGATATTTTGAATTTGAATTTGAATTTGAAATATAAAACGTATTGCCAGATTCTGTAGGCGCTCCAGTTTGTTAAGTAGCTCCTCAGTTGCATCCAAATAACAAACATCAGCATAGTCAAGAAAAGGAAGTAGTAAGAACTGAGCAAGCATGACCTTGGTTTTGAACGGCAAGAAAAACTGAAGTCGCTTGAGAGATTTATAAGCAAAGTGCATACGCCGACTAACTTCATTTACCTGTGGTCTCCAGGACAATGTGTGGTCAATTATTAGGCCAAGATTCTTTGTTTTATGTGTATATGCAAGGTTCACTCCATTATATGAAACCTTGGGGAGATTATTAAAGTCCAACCTGCAATACAGTCTATTACTACCTACAAATATTGCCTGTGACTTCGTAGGATTCACAAGCAAATCGAACGCATCAGCCCAGGACTTCACCACACGAAGATCCCTATTGACAGCTTCAATAGCAGAGTGGGAATCGGCTTCATCAAAATGTCGATAAATTTGCAAGTCATCTGCATATAAGTGAAATGGAGAAGAAATTAATTTAGAGAGCTCATTTATACATAGTGAGAAAAGAAGAGGTGAGAGTACGCCACCCTGTGGTACACCTGAAATCAAAGGAGACCATTCAGAAAAAGAGTCGTCATTCCTGATTCTTTGATGGCGATTGTGACGGTAGTCTGAGAACCAGGCAATCGCGGCCAGGGAGATGTTATTGGAGTGGAGAATGGCAAGCAGGATATCATAGTCGACAGAGTTGAAAGCACTGCTGTAAGTAGTGTGGAATTTTTTAATATATTTATAATAGATTTTTTAATTGAGTAACGGTAAATAGTGTGAATTTTTTTTTAAATATTAAAAAAAATATTTCGGTGACGACAAGTTTTAATGCGAAAGATAACAAATGCGCATTATTAAGATGTAGTTACTTAAAAATATATTATTTCGAACAAAAATTAAGAACAAAATAATAATAATAATAATAATAGCCAAAATGAAGAGATACAATTAATCAAATTACATTGGTTTAAAATGTTTAAATACATATACGTTTATACAGTGCAACACAAAAGAGTAGAAATTAAAGTTTCCGGAACTAAAACCGGTCTGATATCTGGCAACCCTATCTATCTGTCAAACTCACGTCAACTTTCAGATTGCTTGAGATCAGAGTTTGTGTTTTGTGATATTCAAGTGATTTCCTTTAAGTTTTTAAGAACAAACTCTGTTGTTAAGAACAAAGCCCCAACATCAGCAAGCAGAATGGCTGAAATAAAGCTGTGGCTTTCAGAGAATTATATAACTTATCATCCAACTTTAAGAAAGCCGTCTCTATTGGTCTTGGAAAGAAAATACAAGCCTGACCCCGTGTATTTTATTGATGAACTTCTAGCGGATTATGATCACACAGTAGTGAGATTGCCGCCTTACCATTGCGACCTTAATCCAATAGAGTTGATTTGGTCACTGGCAAAACGGAAGGTGGCACTACAAAATGTTGGAGCAAAGGATATAAAACAGCTCACTGAAGAAGCGTTCAGTAGTATAACCACTACTGATTGGAAGCAATGCTGTGAGCACGTAAAAAAAATTGAAAGGGAGTACTATGAACGAGGCACTACGTTGTATGAAGATATTGATCAACTCGTCTTACGTGTTGGTGAGGACAGCAGCTCTGAATCAGAGTCAGAGTCTGAAGCCGAAGATATTGACATGCAAGTAGGGGCAGCTACATCGCAAGACTCTTACGAACCAAGTATTGAGGGGATTGAATACTTGGATTTCGACCTACTAGAATAAAACAAATAAAATATTATTTATACTACTCTCTTTTTTTTATATATTCTCCCAACAGAATACAAGCTTGATAATATCACATACCTAGCATAACTTATTTTAGTTTTGGCACCAATAATATGTCAGTTAGTGTTATTTTTAATCATGATCATTATATATTCACTGTTGTAAAAAGGAAATGTTCAGCTAATAAAGTCGTAGTATATTATTAAAATAGTGTTACGTACAATGCTTGTTACACATGCAATAATTTATCCTCATGGTACCTATATTTGTTTGATCTGGAAGTCATAAAAAATACAAAAATTATGATCCTAACATACCACATACAAATTATATTGTAAATATTAAGCAAGTATCAACTCTAGTTTGGTCGCGCTATACGTGTTGCCATGTTTAAGATAGTGGCGCCCTCATTTATTGTCTATTCTTTTGTGTCGCACTGTACATACGTTTAAATACGAATTCAATGTCAAATGCCCCACATCAACAAATTCATCAATATGGTCAAATAATTTTTTTCAACAAGAAATTACAATAAATAAACTTTACTTAAATGATTATGAACAAATACAATAAAGTATCCTTTTAATACATCACGTTTAATACGTATATAATAAGTAACATTATGCAAATTAATTTTCTGCATCGCCCTCTTCAGATTTCAGTTCAGAATTCGGATCCAGATTAGATAGGTACATCCAAAAATTCTGATTGATTTTCCTGAAACTTAATTAAGTCTAGAGTTTCGGGGAGAAATTGTGCCTTTTCTTGGTCACTAATTTTGGTAGATCAAAATTCACATCTCGGAACAATCATCTGTGAAGGCTCGGAATAAAGTACAAGCATATTGATAATATCGTCGTTCGAAGCTTGCCTGCTCCTTTTTCTCGAATGGCTATTCCCTAAACCTTCTAAAATCTTTGTTGCGGGCTTCTGAGGCCTCTTCTGAGAGGCTCCCAATTGGTATTATTCCATTGCTGGCCGTGATATCTGCTCCATGTAAGAGCAATTTATGGACGGTCGACGACATGTGATACCAATCGTATAACTCCACGTACTTCTCTGCTGTTTTGTAGGCATAGTCTTTGAATTTAGTAACATCAATTACCTCCCCAGATGTTATAGCTTCTAGAATTACAGCAAATCTACGCACCAAATCCTCATCCAATCCAGTAATTGCTGCAGTTCTATCGGGATACTCGAAGAATCTTCTTCCTGTATTCCCGTGATTAGTTATTCCTGCACCTTGTTTTACTATGTCAATTAAAAGATTGAGCTTATTTTTAAACATATCTTGGATTCTTTTTTTCCTTGCCTCCAAGATTTCCTTGTGCTCATCTCCTCTCGCAGCCCACTTCTTGAAATGGAGTCGGTATGCGATGTGTAAAAGGCATTCCATGGAATTAATACGGGCGTGCAGTGAAGATAATCCAAATTCATATTATACGCCAGTTGACACGGTCTTAGATATAACAGTGTGTAATCGGTTCATTTTCGTAGGTTTAACCAAGCACAAGTAGCAAAATGCATTTGATCTACCTTCAGATAGATATGTACAGACTTTAGAATCAATCATCGTCATCATCAGATGATGATTTACCATATTATTGTTACACTTTGTAGGGATAAGAACCTTAATTTCGTCATCCATTTGCCTTTTGGGATTGATGACCACTGCTTAATCGAATCCCCACTTTGATATTAGCGTCAAATGCTTAACTTGTACATTGCTAAGAAGACTTTCAAGGATCCTTTTCACTGTAATATCCAGTAATGCTTGAAGACTAATATTAGCAGATGAATCGGACACAGTCACCGATAGCTTCGGAGGATAACACTGCAGCTTGGCTTGTTGCTACTTTGTAGTAAGACGGATAAATATCCTTAGCACCTTCTCGAATGGCTGTTTCCCTTAACGTGATATATTGCCACTTAGTTAGCTTTAATGAAAGAAGCAAACCTAGAGCCTTTTCCGGGGTAAATGTATAATCTAGTTTCTTTAGCATTTCATTTATTTTTGTAGCTGATTCTGGATTCTTCAGCATATGTTCGATAACGGACGCAGTATCCTCATTACCTTGTTTTTTCAAAAGTGCTGCAGCTGAGTAGGCCAATTCATTTGGATCTTCATTTTTGTCTTCGTCAGATCTTCTCTTCAGTTTGTTTTCCAGATCTTCGAAGGGTTTTCGGGATCTTTTTGTCGTCGTGCTAACTGACGATGAAGTCGAAGGTTTTGGAGAGATGAAACCTTCTATTGATTCCTCTAGTCTTGTACCTTGATTGAGCAAATTTGTTTGCACGCAGCTTGGCCAATCAATATTTGCCTGAAGCCAATTCTAGTACTGCTTTCTAAACGTCTCACTGCTTCGGAGGAATTTCTTCCATCTCTGTTCAGCAGCTCGTGTGAATCTCCGACAAAATTTCTTCAGGGTAACACAGTCTTCATCAGTAAGATTATCACCTAGTCGAGTTGCCACTGCCCCGAGTAGCACTTCGCGATTAAATGAAGTGTTTTCGCTCTTGAGAATAACTATCAAGGCTAGATTGGTAGCGAAATTTGCCAATATAATATTTTACGGTCACAGATCTTAGCAGTTGAAAAGTGTATATTACACTAAATATAAAACATATTTTCTATCTATTTATTGTTGCTTTTTGACCATTAAAATTAGTGAAGTGATTTGCAATTGTATGTTAATTATCTGCCGCTCATTAGAGTTCCAAAGAATGCTCTGGCAAAATCTAAATCTACTGAAAATCTAGGGGTGAGTTTGGTCCAACCGGCCCCCCAACCGTACCTCCAACCGATGCCCCAACCGACCCGCCAACAGACCCCCCAATCGACCCCCCAACCGACCCCCCAATCGACCCCCCAATCGACCCCCCTTTTTTTTTTTGACGGGGGGGAAATCTTTATGGATACCCCTGAGCCCAGGGAGACTCAGGGGTTATGTGGGGACTCTCCCTCCAGACTGGAGGGCCTACCCCACTAAAACCCCCCCGGGTTTCCCTCTCGCCGGTTGAGTCGGCGCCGTGGGATCGGTGAACATTCACCACGACGCCGCCCGGCCGCCCTAGCTTGCGCCAGGGCTCCCGCGCCAACGGAGGGGCGAGTCGGTTGTCCTCCGACCCGCCCCCCAGACGAGTGAGGCCGTGCAATGCAGGCTCCGGAGTCCCTGTCCAGAGCCCGCTGGCCTCACTAGGGGATCAGGCGAGCAGCGAACTGCCTTCGCCTTCTCCCCGTACGTCTGCGCCGAAGCGGGTGCGCGTCCGCCGCGTCCTCGCGCACCCGCTCCGCGGCCTCCTTTTGCGACATAACCTCTGCGCAAAAGGAAGCCACCGCCTCCCAGGACTCCTCGCTATCGAGCATGGCGGCAACCACGCTCGGCAGCGAGAGGTCCTGCCCTACAGTGCCCGTCAGAGTGCGGCGCTGCTCATCCCACCGGCTGCACACCTCTAGGGTGTGCTGCGCGGTGTCATCCGCAGCGCCGCACTCGTGGCACGACGGGGACGGTTCCCTCCTCGCCACCTTGTGCAGGTAGTGACCGAAACACCCGTGTCCAGTCAGCACCTGCACAAGGTGGTACGACAGTGGCCCGTGGGACC